GTATACATGGGATAACTTCGATTCCTTTGCATTTATTTAAACCTGTTTTATGAGCTAGCATGTGGTCTATTTTGGAGAATGACCCATGTGCAGCCAAAAAGAATGTATATTCTGATTTTGTGGGGTGGAACACTCTGTAGACGTCTGTTAAGTCTATTTGTTCAAATCCTTGGTTCAGTTCTAGTGTTTGTTGTTGATTTTTTTGTCTAGATGATCCATTTGTGATAATGGGGAATGTAGGTCCCCTACTACAATTGTTTTAGTGCTTATTTGGTTTTTCATGTCCCTTAATATTTGTTTTATATAGTTGGGGGTATTAATATTTGGTGCATGTGTATTTATGATTGTCATCTCTTTTTGTTGGATTGTTTCCTTTACAAGGATGTAGTGGGCTTCTTCATCTCTCTTAATTAGTTTTGGTTTGAAATTTACTTTGCGCATAAGATAGCTACCCCTGCTTTTTTCTGGCTCCTTTTGCATGGAGAACTGTTTTCCATCCTTTCACTTTCAGTCTATGAGTTTCTTTTTGAACTAGGTGTGTTTCTTTTTTTTTTTAGTTTTTTTACGTTGTTTTTTTTTTTTTTTTTTTTTTTTTTTGTACCGGGGGTTGAACTCGGGTCCTTGTGCTTGCAAGGCAGGCCACTGAACCACTGAGCTAAATCCCCGGCCCTAGGTGTGTTTCTTGTATACAACATATTGTTGGATTTTGCTTCTTTATCCATTCTGCTAGTCTGTTTCTTTTGATTGGTGAAATGAGGCCGTTAACATTGATGGTTATAACTAATTTGTGTTGACTTATCATTGTCGTGTTATTGTCCTGTTGTTTTTAATTTTTTTAATTTTTAATTTTTCTCTTGCCTAATTGACTTGCTCTGTTGGGCCTCATGGTGTTGTGATCTTCATTTTCTTTTTCTAGGATATTGTTTGGGATTGTTTATAGTGCTGATTTGGTACTCATGAAGTTTCTCAGGTGGCCATCTTTGTTACTTAAGTATTACATCAAGGTTAAATTAAGGTCATCTTATTACTTAAGAATTTTTTCCATGTAACAGGGCACATCATCAGATATTGTCCTTTTGCCATACTACTGGCCTGGGGTCGATTGCCCTTACTTTCTTCAGTGTTCTACTGTTAGAGGAAAACATGAATAGCCATAGTAGATAACCCAGTTTCTTGTTTGCTTTCCCTCTGTTGTCAAGGCCATTGTGCTTTTACTGAACTAATTTAATTATAGGATGAAATACTTGGTTTTACATACTGTAAACTTTCAGGCTGTCTGGGTTTAGGTGTGGCTTGTTTTTTCTTGTCTAGAATGGTTTCTAACTAAGCATTTTGGGAACTTAGACATAGGAACTAAATACCTTTAAAAATATTTCTTTTCCAATGTAAGATACTTAGAAAAAGATTTATGTTCGTTCATAATCAGAATCTTCCTCTGTGTTACTAAATTGTTTTCTTTTTAAAAAATAGTGAAATGTGGAATCTGACTTTTGTGTATTTCACCTGGAAGAATACACTGTTCAATAATATTGTCTGGTCTTATTTTCCTTTGATTAGATCTGTATCTTTCTTATGGCCCTGTAAAACTGTCTTCATGGAGCATCTCTTTCTAGAGTAGGTCTTAGCATCTCCCCCTGGTCTAATTTATTTTTCAGGGAAATAACTGAAATCCATTACTATAATGAGACATTAATTCTAAGGGACACGTTCACATATCTGAAGAAGGAATTATGTGGCTGACCTGGGACCAAAATAAGAGGCAAAACAAATGTGGTAGAAGAAAAGGAGGTGTTAGATATCAAGGAGTTTGGTTTATAAATATAAAAAAGACTCTGAGAGAACCTCAAAAGAGCTCTTCCACGTTGTTTCCTGTTGTTCTTTTCTTAAGGGAACTACAGCACCCTTGGAGTGTTTTCGGGCTTCTAGTCTGTGTTTGTTCTCCTGACAGCTTGCTTGTCTCTTATTTCTGCTCTGTTAGCTGTGATGTTCCTTGCGGGGGACTTAACTCTGGGAAAGGAATGAAGACCCAGTCCTTATCATGCTTAGAACTCTAGCAGTCAGATATTGTGGTGGGACTATTTTTTTAAGCTCTGAAGAAATAAGACTTCCATTGTATTGTGAGTGCTGATCCTCAGGTTTTTCTACAAAGTCCACCCTGCAGCTTTCTTTCCTTATCCCCCCCAGAGTTTAAGAGGAAACACAATTTTCTTTTAATCTCAATGCCTGAATCAAACAGCTGGAAATATTTACTGCTTCCTTACTTAATTTTAGGAAAAGACACAACTTCTTCTTTTGGCAGTGGGGAGAACTAGTAAGGGTGGCATTTGATTAAAAAAGCTGTAAAGTTTTCCCCCCATAGTATTGAAGTGAAAAAATCAGCTCATGGAGTTAAATAAGATACATGAGAGTGGATTTGACAAAGATTGTATCCACAAAGCTTGTATTTCATGGGCCATGCTTCAACTCATGGACAAACTGAACTAGGAGTAGATTCTCAGTACAGGTTTTTGGGTGACACTAGTGGGCAAGGGTGGGCATGAGCTGACATAGTTGTTAAAACTTTTTCTGCTCAGAAAATTTCATAACATTGTGAGATATGTGTAGACATCATTCTAGGGCTTGCAGTCTTGGTTAGTTTTTCTTCTTACCTAACAAGTACATATAATGAGTAGCTTACTACTTAATCCTCACCACAATCCTGTGTGGCTAATATGTAATTACCCCAGTTTTGCACTGACTCCAGAGCCCTTTTTTATTGTTACTGTTGTTGCTGTTTTGAAAGAGGGTCTCTATGTACTTCAGGCTGGCCTCTAACTTGCAGTGATCCTCCTGCATCACCCTCTCCAGTGCTGGGATTACAGGTCTGTGCCAGCATGCTCATCTCAGAGCTATTATTCTTAATCATGACAATGTCTGTCTCAAAAGATAGTTAAGCATCTGGGGAGGAAGATGAAGGCCGTATGTATTAAAATGGATAAGGCTTTTTATTTGCTCTCTCATGTCCGGTGGCAGAGTCCCCAGTTATGTCCTCCTTGCTGCTCAGTTTTAATTTACTGAAATCTGGACTGTAGTGTACCTTGATAGGTTGAATGAGCTCGTTACATATGACAATCTGTTTTAGTCCTGGGATACCATTGTCGCCAAGGTTCGTGCATTTTGTCCTCTTCAGTAGTAATAACCAAAGGTTGGAAAAATTTAAAAACTCTCCTTAACATAGGGCTTTGCTGACAGGTCATTCTGATAGTGTGAACAAAGTTCGTGTGAAAACCATGAAAAATAATTCGTTTTTTTTCTTGAAATAAATGTTAGACCTGTATCTTCCCCAAAGTTGAACTATGTTTATGTTCATTCTCCTTTCAAAGTATTTAAGTTCATTTCTGTTAACCACTGTCTTTTAATACCATAGATAAGGTTTAACAACTGTTGTCTTAATATTGTCTACATTCCTTTTTTGTTTTGTTTAAACAGCTTCAACTGAAATCACCTCTACATATCAAACATTTAGTTGATGTAAACTAAAACCTTTTCATATGACTTGATGTTCTCCAGTTTCTTATTTCAGCCATTTTTGCCATTGTTAAATCTTTACAAGTTGCCTTTGTTTGCCTCGTGAAAGTTCAATATGGATAAACAAACAAAAAATTCTTTGTGGTAACAGGTGACAATTACAATAGGTTGACGTATGTGTGTATACAACATAATCACCTTAGTAAAACCAGACAGCCCAACTTGAAGCTGTGATTGCTGAACATTTCTTTAGTGGGCAGAGGTAAAGAGTTTTTAGGATAAGTGGCACTAAACTTTGATGGTAAAAATTTGATTTTCAAGTTGAAAATGAGTGATAAAAGACATGGAAAATAAAGAACAATTTGTAAGCTTCCAAAGTGATATTTAGCCTCTTATCTATATGTGTTGGGTCATTTCATTTGCAAGGGACAGAGAAATGAACCTGAATTGGCTTAAGTAGAAAGAGTTTTAGGAATAGCTTGATTAATAGTCAGTTCATATCACTAGGATCTGATTTTTAATCTTTTCATCTTATAGTTAGTCACCTCCTATTGTGTTGTCTTCATTTTTCCCATTCGATAGCATAATGGCTGCAGTCTTTTTCTTGTGTCTTCTATCCGTCTTGTTAGCCACTCTGATTGAACACTTACCTAAATCCCATACCCAAATCCAGTTTGGGATGGATTGTCCTAGACCTAGATTTCCAGTTCAACTCCTAGGATTGGAGCTAAAGCTCTACTTAGTCCCCATGGAGTGAAGCTGAGGAAGGGAGAGTTATAGGTTGCTAAATGGATAGTAAAATTTTACTAGAATAGGAGGAATGCTAACATGGCAAATGATAAAAACAAGTCCATAGGAGTGACATAAATTACAGGTATCTTTGCTACTCTTTACCTGTAGACATTAGCCCTTACTGAGTGGACAAGTGACAATTTGAATGGCTTTCTAGGTTAAATATATGCTTCTATACTAGTTTTATATTGTTTGGTTCTATAGGCTAAGATGATCACCAGCTCCTCCTGGCCCATGAGCAAGTTCTTTATTTTAAATCTAAAAAATTGCAATTGATAATCATAATATGTGCTCGTATCTTACTCTTTAACTCAGTCTTTAATAAATATGTTTAATAAGGCACTTAAAAATTATCATCATAAGCAGTATAGGCCACTTATACTGTAAGATCTCAATATTTTTTGCCGATTGACTTACATAGTTTCCTCATATCTGACTAATAAATGTGATTGAGAATCCTTCCCTGACCTGAATAGGCTGTGTTTCTAAGACCTCAACTTTAAGTCTACTTTCTCCTTGGATTTGCAGAAATGCTTTGGAGATGCCACATTATATTGGGAACTGGTCAGATCAGGCTTTTCTCACCTTTTGTCACCCTATGGCTATTAAGTTACCAGAGCAGAATTGAGTGAGGAAGTCACTGTCCTTGCTTGTCCATCACAAGGACATTGTAATCACTGCCTTCCCTTTCTGGTCCACAGGTTGAATTTGAGTGGCTGAGACAGTTTTGGTTTCAAGGCACTCGATACAGAAAGTGTACTGATTGGTGGTGTGAACCCATGACTCAGCTGGAAGGGCTATGGAAGAAGATGGAAAGTGTGGTAAGGACATGAAGTTGAGAACTGTTTTTTCTGGGATGCTGTGTTAGATAAATCCTCAGCTTCTCAATTTGCATACACAAGTGCATATGTAATTATTCCAAATTACTGAGTTAGATTATTGTTGGTAAGAGAAGGAGAACAGCCAGGATTTGTCAGTATAACTATAGTTCAGTTCAGTGAACTTTGACTGAGAATAATCTATATAGGAGGCACCATGCTAGATGGATGCTGGGAAATGACAATGAGAATAGTTCAAGAATCATATCTAAAATTCATTTTCATTTTTTATGCACCAGGCACTACTTTTGGAGGTTTTCCTGCATTAACTTTTAAAATTCTTACAATGATCAGAGATGTAGAAACTCTTATGAGCCTTGATTTATAGATGTGAAAACTGAGGTAGAGAGAAAGTAAGGGCTTTACTCAAGGTCCCTGAGAAAGTGGCATGGCAAGATTGCTACCCAGGAAACCTGGCTCCAGAGCTTTTTCTCTTAGGCACTGTGATCCAACCGTTTAACAAGGAGAGAGACATGAATATCACCAGGTATTGTGTTACCTAAAATGTAATCCTATAATAGAGGTGTATTAGTCAGCATTCTTGTGGCTGAGACACAATGCTTAACACTCACAGTTTAAAGGAGGAGACATTTAATTTGCTCACAATTTCAGTCCATGATTGGCTGGCTCCAAGGCATAGACATCATGGCAGAAGGGTGTGGTGGAACAAAGCTACTTAATTCAGGTCAGCTGGAAAGCAGAGCAGAGAGCCAGAAAGGAAGGGTGCGGGACCAGATACAGACCCCAAGGCCACACCTCCACCACCCACCCCGACAGATGACAGATGACCACAGATGTAGGAGTATGATCACCAGTCCTTGGGGCAGATCCCAAAGCTCAAGTCAAATCCCCACCCTAACCACTACAAGAAGTTTCAAAAAGGAAACAAAAAAATACAATTCAGAAAAGAGAGTATTAAATTCAGATCACCGACTCTTGTGAAACTATAGATGTGGCTTTTAGGGACTTGTATGAGACGATCATTAGGTTTTTGGACTATGAAACAAAATAAGTGAGGAAGTATAGCTTAGAGAAGGGAGTACAAGGGAAACAAAGCCTGAAGCAAGCGGAAATCACATAATCAGGTTATAATTTAAACAGTAATAATAGGAAGCACTTCGTGATACTTGTGGAGTATCAGACACTATAGCGAGCATTTTCTCTATAACTGATTTAGCTTTTATGACAAACCCATAAAATCAGTTATTTTCTCCTACTTTTGCAAACAAGGAGAATGAAGCCCAAAGGTCTAATGTAAACTTCCCAAGGTCATTCAACTGATAGGTGGGGGTGCTGGGATTTGAACTCAAGAAGGCTCACTCTATGGTCCTTTCCCTTCATTGTCTCATGTTCAGTCTCTAAACAGTTGAGTTTGGAGTGTAGTGGAAAAGTGATAAAAGCCTGCTAAACTCTGGAGAGAATTACCACTGTACAGAATTTGAAATGTTCTGGGAACAATGAACTAATCTTCAGAAATGAGTAACTATAGCTATTAATGTATTTTATATTGGAAACTGCTCTTTTAAGGTATGATTGATACATAGCTGTATATAATTAATGTATATAATTGAGTTTGCAGATATATGTATACCCATGCAAGCATCATCATGATCCATGCTATATAAACCAAAACTTTCCTCTTGCCTTCTTCTCATGATGGCAACATTTAACATAAAATCTATCCTAATCCTTATTTTATAATAATGAAAATGTCAAGACACAATCATGAAAGCCCCAGTTTAAAAATCTGGGTCAGTATCCAAAAATCCCTGCTTTCCAGACATCTCCTCAGGTCTTTAAATCATGTCTTTCTAATAATTTGTGCCTGAGGAACAAATTATTATTTTTGTATATTCATACTATCACAAATATTGATTTCTCAAAAGACTGAATCATGTAAAACTGTACATTGTAATACTAAAGTAGAGATAATGAAAAGTCCCTGCCTACTTTTTGGTTGGTTTTAGTCTTAAGCTGAGCCTGGGTTGAGGATGTTTCATTTTTGTGGCTTGTATGCAGTTTCAGTTTCAGGGCAGTGTTTGTACCTACATTGTGAGTTCTGAATTTGTGCATCTGGGCTTGAGTTTAGAATGTCTTTCTTTGCTAAGCCTTAATTATAAGATATCAGCTTGTCTTTGAAATTGTAATTTGACAAAGTTGTGAATTAAGAGTTGGAAAATAAGCAAGGATCTCATTAATTGAAAAAACTTTTAAATTACTTTTGTTCAGGATTTTTAAAAAAGAAAAATCTTTGGTAGTGTGATTGTAACAATGATATAATTATAAATTAATTTACTATATGTTAAATATGTCTATATATTTGGTGGCAATGGCACATTAGTTAGGAATATCTTCTACTTATTTTGTAGCTGTCATATGAAAAATGTTAAAAGGAAAAGCAATACTGGGAATTTTCCAGAGCCAGTTTCCTTGTACAGTAGTTGGTGTGGCATTCCTCAGTGAGCTGCGGGAAATCAATGGCCTAAGTGTCTCTCCTCAGCAGGCCTCAGGATGATCATTATCAGAAGAGCGAAGATTTGGGCTGAGATAAAAGGCACAGTCCTTCTAAGTTAAATTTAAGTATCGCTTGAAGCCTTTTAAAATGACTTTTAACAAATTCATAATAATTTATTTTAGCTGTTTAAAGAGGCACTGAGAACACTCATTTGAAAGGTATGTGCCTCTGTGGCTCTGTCAGTTTTTGAGTATTGAGAGCGCTTTGGGCTTTATTCTGTACCAGCCCACCTTCTCCTTTTTTAGTTGCAAGCAGTAGAGGGCAATGTTGAGCTGCCAGTTGAAGCCCCAGGATGTTAGCCTTTCAGGAAAATGCATATAAATGTACCATTAACTGTCAAGAATTATTCCTGTTGCTTCAAGTTAGCTGTAATCTCCAAGATTCCATAACACAGGAAATCAGTTGTGGGTTAACAAATTCAACAGCAATTTAACATAAAAAGTGCAGTGTTTGGTGCACATTTGGATTCTATAGAATTAGACTAATCTAAATGGCATATCTGAATGTACTAAATTTACTTTCAGGGAATGTATTATTCAAAATTGTTATCATTTTAGAAAAGTGATTCTATTCTTTGTTATCATTATACTTTTTTTGAATTGCAAAATCATTGTGTGTATTGTGGAAAGATTTCTTTAATCAATGCATTTTGTCTGTTCTGCAACATAACATTGATCTCTTTCAGTGAGAAAATAAAAACCTCAGGCAATATGTGCATTACTTTTCCCCCTTTGCTTATGAGTAAAGCAACCTTTGACAGCCCTTGTACCAGGGAAGAGACTTATGTTGTAATTTCTTTCTGTCTTTGTATTCTTTTTTTCACTTTGTGGTTGGGATATGTAGTCTCAGGAAGGATATAGGAGAATGGAAAAAGCTTTGAAATAGTTTTTCTTCCATTAATGGTAATTGCTTCACATGTCATAACCAGCCACAAATTTCAGAAAGTTTAGTCAGCTGTCTCTAAAACTCCTCCAGCCTCTACTTCCCAGTCCCTGTCCCAGCAAGCACTTTTTTTTTTTTTTATCATACTATTTATTCTCACCGTTTCTCTCCCGGAGGATAGTTTTACTTAGTGTATGCTCTTGTGTTGTAAATGTTAAACCTTATATTTGAATGACATTCTGATAAAATATCATATTTTCCCTGAATATTACCTCATGAATTTATGAGCCATTAAGCCCAAAGTAACATAACCCTTTCTTTACAACCCAGGAATTTAGCCTGGTCTTTCCTCTCCTCTTTGCTCCATATGCAAGAAGTATTATAAAACTGTAATGCTATTCAAATATTTGTATTTTATTTTATTTTTGAACCAACCCACTACCTCCCACCCAAGATTATTGTATTATGAGGAGACTGTTCAGGATAAGAGAGAGTTACCATTTGAAAGAAGCTGTATAAGCTGTGCTTTCTGGGTAAAGAGGAGTATGAAAAGCTGAAATCTCCAGTGAGGTGAGGAAGTCTTGCTACAGCCAGAGATTGAATGGATAGGCCATTTGTCTCTCAGGGTCTGGTATCGCTCTTTGCAAAACTGACATTTATTTTACCTATAAAAATGTTTTAACACTATCAAATTCACAGTGATACTGAAAAGAACGCTAGGTGTGAAATCCTCTAAATTGATGACATTTATTCATTTCCTTTTGACCTTAAAAAAAAAAAAAAAGAAAGAAAGAGAAAAAGATCTATTTGGTATAGTCCAATGGAAATCTTCTAGAATAGTTTCCAGAGTAAGCATTTTCAAAAGTACTGATGATTTATATACTGGAGAGAAATTTCTTCTTGATGTTTTCATTGCTCTTCCTTTTTGAAGAGAAAAGTAGATCCTGATCGTCTTGAATGCTTTGAGTTGCAGTGCTTGTTCTGACAGTTGCTTGTGCTGCCACGGCAGTGCCTGTATATGGCAGTTGGCCTTAACAACCTTTACTGACTCGAGTGGGTAGGAGCCAAGACTGGATTATTTTAATGTATCTGTTTTGAAAGGGTGTAAAACACAACATATAATTAGGTTAGGTAAGCTATCGGCTACATTTAATTCTACCTATTTATGTTAACATTTGGCATAGGAGGACAGAGAGATGTGGAAAATGAGTAGGTGTTTTATTTAATAATGTACCCGGTTTCTTGCTGTTAAAGTTTTAAGAGAAAAATGTACTTACGAATGTAAAGGTGATCCCTGACAAGTTATTTATAATAGTTTAATTTCAGGATGACTCACGCCTCTTTGCTTGTCACTGTGATCTGCGTAAATCATCTGGGAAAGCTCTTGCTCAATGCTGTGTGGATGAGTCCTCCTCAGTGTGGGTTACATGGTTGTAGGAAATGACTGAGCTGAGCAGCCGCTTGTTACAGGAGAGGCTGACAAAACTATCATTGCACTGCTGTAGATTAAATTCTTTATCCTTGAATATAGGAAAAAAGGCTCAAG